AACACCGCGCAGACGACTGCCGCGTAAAGCCGAGCGTGGAGGAGCTAAAGGACACTTCCTGTCGTCCACAGCAGCGCATCCTGTGGACTTTCATCCGGCTACCTGCAAACAGAGCCACAGGCTCCGGGTACGCGGTATCTCTTCAGGGATGTTGTCCATGTCATTCACATTCTATTTATTTAACAGACATACATTTGAGAAAGAAGGGCGACCCAGCACCCGTCAGCTGTGGGGGGGTCGAGGGTGTCATCACTCTGCCAACCTTGGTATTGGAACTGACAACCCACTGATCATAGGCACAGCATCATAACCGCAAAGAATCACAAATGGAAAAACATCTACATATTAAGGCCAAATCATGTAATGCAAATGCAAAAATCATCTAGGTACAGTGGTGGCTCTTTACCCCCATGCTAAGATGAAAAAGGCCAGCCCCCCAACCTCAACAGGGTCCGGACACACAAAGCTTGGGTTCGAGGTCCATGTCCTTAACCACAGTGTCACCTGCTGCCCCACTCAGTGACACGACGCAGGATGCGAACGCAGCAATCAGAACATCCGCAATGATGTATTTATTTCTGAAGACCTGGAATATCCCCGAGCTGATGACAGAACACAGAATAAATCATCCGGAAAGTGCTAGAAAGGCCCATTATAAGCAGCTGACGTTGCCTCTGGCTACTGTCTAGACTCAAAGGGAGCTTTAGACATGCCAAGTGCACCTCCTGTCCCCTCGTGACATCCTGTCCTCCAGGGAGCAGAGCAGGTGACAATGACACAGAAAACGCTAGTTACCCAGAGCAGGAACTCATATCTGAATCGATCTGATCAGATCTTTTTATCCTTTATACTAAGAATGCATACTTGCATACCAATTACATCAATCCATGGCTGCTAGGTGTCTAGAATGGTACGGGGGGGTAAATCCGACATACGTAAAATAGGGTTTGTGGAGCAGATTACTTACGTCAGTCAAAAATCGCCAGTGTGAACAAAAAATAATGAACAATTCAGTTTTAATGCTACACGGCTTTTTGTGTGACAAGGAATAAGGTTCCAGCTTTAAACCCAAAGGAAAAGAACAACAGGACCTCAGCTCAGATATAGCTGCAGACTTGATCGATGAGCAAAAACACGGCCGCTGTCCAGAAGCGAAACTAGACAGGCATCTCCCACGGGTGGCCCGTCGTGACGAGCGACGCCAAGCGGCAGACCTTCACCCAGAAACCAGGGGGACGGTCAGGGGAGCGGGGATACTTACGGCCCGATATCGCTGGCAGAGGGATTGGAACACCTAAGGGGGGCTGGGGGGAAGGGCGGGGCTGGGGGGCACTGGTGACGCACGGCGAGGATTAGCGAGGGTGACCGGCTAGCGGCCAAACCGCGTCGACCACGCCAGCTGGTGCGAGCTCCTCCTGAGCCCGGCGACCATGACGTTACGCGACGGGGCTTTCCTCGGGTGGGGGGCGGGCGTGTTTACACGTGGGGATGGTGCCCAGGATAAACGGGAACTCCTCCAGGGTGCAGGCGCCGCCGCGTAGGACACGAGGGGGGGGGGGGGAGGCGTTTCCTTGGATCTCATACACACACACACACAAACACAAAAATGTATATATATATATATATATATATATATGTACACACACACACACACACACACCATCTGGACAACTCAGCTTTGCAACCTGCTGAAAAAAAGCAATTTTTGAAAATCTTAGACAAATAAAAATGTTGCCCGAATGACAGGGTTGGGCAAGACGGCGAGTTTCAAGAGTCACGTGCGAGTCCCGCGACCAATCACACGCCACGTGGATGGGAGCCACAGCGAGACAGCAAGCAAGGGAGAAGTTGAGAAGGAGGGAGGTGGAGGTGCAGAGAGCGGCAACAAGGGTGGGGGGGGGGTGCGAGGGCTGGCGTGCTTGGGCCTGCGGACAGTTACGTAAGCAGTAATTCCACGGCCTGCTGACTCACATGGCCGGTCCCATGTCCCCTAAGCAGCCATATTTGTACACCTCCCCGTGTGCTTGGCTGGTGATGGAGTCGGGAGAGAACTACACATCATGCAGGGCACTGCCCCCCCCCTAACACACACACACAGTTAGAAATCACAAGTTACTAACTTCTCCTAAGTTCAGTTTTACAATGACGACGACTTGTGCGCTGCTTGTTTTGAAATAAAAATAAATAGTTCTTTTCACCATTTAGTCCTATTTTAAATTGCACAGATTAAATCAACTTTAAAGGGACATCCATCCGAATGACATCACACAAATACCTGCCATCTTATCTCTGCAGTGACAAATAAAATGAACGACCACACATTTATTCTTAATTTAGAGTAATGACTGAACTTTCTTTAAAAGAAGTTTTATGTTAAATTTGGGTTTGGCATTTTTAAAAGGGGAATTTGGGGTACAGAACCTGTTGTGAAAAAAAAATTACAACAGAATTTACAGTTTCTGTGCTTCTCTGATTTCAAAATAAAACTTCTAAGATGAGACTGAAATCTCAACTGCAACGGTCAGCATACATCAGGATGTGAAGAGTAACGAGGCGCTAATTAGCAAAACTGCAGATGTGTGCTGGTCCGGAGAATGTGAGCCCATTGCAGTACAGCCCAGGACGATCTGCAGCACACAGAGAGCAGAGACCCCAGCAGACTGTCCAGTGAGGCATCTGATCTGCTACTCGATCCTACTACACGATCAAGTCACACGGAGCTCTGGGCTTGAGACTGGAACGGCGAGCACCGCAAGACCACCACCGGCGTCTGAGAGGTGGGTGGAGCCCCGCGAGGAACACGGAACGAGTATAGTCAGGAAGAAAACACATGAAGAGACGGGGGGGGGGGGGTGGATTCTTAATAGCTAAAGATTTACCCCAAAATGAAGATGGCCAAATCTCGCCATGTTGTACGAGATGATTCATCTCAAAAACAAATCGTGAGACGAGAACGTCGGCGGGCGAGTGGCAGAATTAAAAAGTAAAACTGGCAGTTGTCAGTCAGAGCTGACAGTGGACAGGAAATGAATGTACTGTAATCCATACCAGCCGAACAAATCGATTAGCGCTGCACTAGGGCCGGGATTGTTCAGGCACATGTGCGGTCATGCATTGCCGGAGGGCAGAGCGGCGGGCAGCCCGGACAGGCTCCTCCCGCAGGGAGACGGGGGCCCAGCGGCACCCCCTGCTGTGCCACGCGACGACACACGGCCCGGGGGTGTCTAGGAAACGGCGGCCATCCTACCTCTGCCCGGATTTCATAACGCTTAACCGCCACGAGCACAACATGCAAGAGAACGTGACTGGCGTGTGGAACCGGGGCTAGTTTTACAGGGGGGAGGGGTTACCACACTCGGTGTTGGCACAGGGGTACAGAGAATCCCTAATGGCTCTGTTGAGGTTTTTTTTTTTTTTTAGGTGATGCGCTTGCTGTCAGAGCTGCTGGTCCGATATCCTCACACGGATGATGGTTTCCACACGGGCGGCAGACGTCACACTGGCACCTGAGTGACAGCACAACCTCCTCGGTTATTAAAACTGCAGTATAAGAGTAAAAGAAAAAAGAAAAAAAAAAAGCTGTAACTGCCGCTTTCTATTGCATGGGGTGCAGCCTCACCACGAGTCCCAAGCTGGGATTTCACGTCGCAAATTGAGACGCCCCGACTGCGGATTCGGCCCTCAGGGACGGGCGGCCGCGTCACCGTGGTCACTGGCAGCGGGAGGAATCGATCGCGGCGGGCTGGATGTCCCCCAATGAAAGTGGAATAAAAGGCGGGGGGGGGGGGTCGACTGTTTCCACACCCCCCAGCTCCCAGCATGCAGCAGCTCCCCACGAGCTGCAGTGCGCTGCTGTACCGCGGTATCGATCTCACGGCCCGCTGTTTGTCCTGCGCCTCACGCCTCGCCTTATCCTCACGCGCCTCCCGCTTATGTAACCGCGGACGGAAAATCACAGCGCCGCCCGCCCGCCCGCCCGCCGCAGCATACTGATGGGCCGTCTGGAGGGCGGCCCGCAGGCCTGTCGGCGGCCCCCCCCAGGCGTGCCGAGGCAAGGCGGACTGGCGGAATGCAGATGGAGCGACCGCGGCGGCGGCCCCGCCACTGCAGGGCGGGTCGCCTCACTGCAATCCTGGCTGCCGCTCTCGATGTGCAGTGCATGCGACAAACTCCTACACCACGACTGCCCTTGGACGGCCAGTTTATTGAGATACGGCCGATTGCCGGGAACTTCCCATATCAGACGCGGCTGCAAAGCGCCATCGCAGGACCAGGGCGGCTGCGGTTAGTTTGGCTCTCTGAGCAAGCGGATACCGACAGCAGCTCGCATTTACACTGTCAGTGGCATTAGTGAGAGCCATGCTGCCTGTCAGTAGGCATTTCCTACTCAGGCTGAAATGTGCCTGAAATACATAGACTGACACTGCTGCTCCCACCCCCCCCAACTTATGTTGCTTCTGACGCAGCAGTGACCACTGGTGGCAGACGGAGGCATTGCAACGAAACTTCTCTCGTTCGATACTCCCTCTCAGAGCGGAGAGACTCGCCAAAACGTGTCACGTTAGCACAGATGACGTCCAGGGCTGTTCCCAGGAATACTGCACACCATAAGCCATATGAAGAGCTCAGTTTAACGACAGGGTGTTGTAATTGGCATCAGAGTTTAAATCAGCTACGATCGGCTTTCAGGCATGCAGTACGAAGGGCAGTGAAGGAATGTTCCCCGTTCTGTTGCTGCTTTGCTTTGAACCCCCATTAATCCCAAAAATTCATCGCTGCTTTAGATGTCTAATACCAGTGCAAACATCTGAAGTTCTCCACATAGTTCTCCACATCCTTCTTTCTCTGAGCATTTTTCGTTGGAGATCCATCTTGCTTGGCAGAAGACACACAATGTCAAGACTAAGTTTAACTTAGATGTACATCCAATGGGTGATACGAACATCGGAATCTCCCACTTGGGACTTAAAGGATTCTCCCTAATGTGTTCCTGCACTCACCAACTCATCAAAATTCTCCTTCTTATCCAGCATCTCCTGCAGTGTCTGTAGGACCTTAATACACAGCTTCTCCTCTTTGTCCATCAGCTTCTTGGTGTGATTGATCAGTCTGGGTAGAAGACAAGGACAGAGGAGCTGGAGAGGAACCGCTGAGAGCTGCTTGGGGACCCCCCCACTAGGGACACAGCCACCCCCCTGAGAGCCCTAATGCTCCTGCTGAGCGAGGATAAGGGCAGTCCTGGTAAGGATAGTCACATGGAAGCAATATGGGGGCGGAGCTATAGGGGCACTGACCCCAGCTGAAGGCTGATTGGCTCCCAAATTGCCCCCTCCCCTTTCACCCAACAACTGGAAACATATCATTGGCTAATGATAAGGCTGCCCTCTGTATGACTCATGGCCCCCTTCTTTCATCCCCCATCTGAACGGCCACTAACGAGCACACTCACTTGGACATGAAGGCTCCGCTCTCGCAGCGCAGCCGGGCCGTCTCAGGGAACAGGAGCTCGGGACTGTGCAGCACGTCCACCAGCACGGAGAACTCAGCCTGGACCTTGGGGTGGAACTGCTCCTCCAGGCGGGCCACCACAGTCTGGGGGGCAGAAGACGTACAGATCAGCCTCTGCTCATTCTGACCACCGGCACCAAAACCGCATATCCCAGCTTAAACAGTCCATAGTCCTTAACCATTCAACTACAAACCAACATCTTAAAGAAGCCCTTTAATCTGTCACAGAACAGACACACGAAATGCTTCATTCATAAACAGATGCTGTACAGCCTTTTACATCTCAAACGATGTTCATAAAGACTGGTGAATTAAAGTGTAACTTTTGCACCTTAATACCAACGCACTGATATTCAGAATTAGCTAAATTTCTTCAAAAAGAAATTCATCTCAGCAATCCATCCATCCATTTCCATACCCCTCTATCCTATGTGGGGTTGCAGGGGGTCTGGAGCCTACCCCGGATGCGACGGGCACGAGCCAGGGAATAACCTAGGATAGGGTGCCAACCCATCGCAGGGCACACTCACACACCACTCACACACACACTCACACACCATTCACACACACACTCACACACCATTCACACACACACTCACACACCCTTCACACACACACACACACACTCACACACCATTCACACACATGCACACCTACAGGTAATTTGGTCACTCCAACTAACCACAACATGTTTTTGGACTGTGGGGGGGAAACCAGAGTACCCGGAGGAATCCCCATGGGCAGAGCATGCAAACTCCACACACATGGAGCCAGGGCAGAGACCAGAGTTGTGAGACAACAGTAATCCAACCATATAATATTACTGCACTGAGTCCACTGTGAGAGTATTTTAGGAAACAGGTCCTACTGCAGTATGCAAAGCGCCTGAAACAGGTAACCAAAGCACGTCTGACGTGAGCTGGCGGCTCCATCCGCCCGAGCCTCGCGTGGGCACTGGCGCAGCCCACCTGCATCTTCTCGATGATGTTCTTGTAGTCCAGGCCCCCAATGGGCTCCCGGCGCGGCCCGGTGCGGGCCGACATCCTCCAGCCCTTGGCGGCGCGCTGCACCATGTTGATATGCGCCTTGGAGCACAGCGTGTTCACCTGGCCGTCCAGGTCCACGGGGACGGCGATGGAGCGGTTCTTGGCTGCAGGGCAGAGCAGAGCAGCGAGCATATGGGTGACGTGGGTTACATCAGGGCCGCGGGAGAGGAGGGAACGAGAGAGGAAATGGCAAGGAAAGGTGCCGAGGACTCAACTATTTTAATTAATACCCGTCAGCCGGCGACAGAGAACATTTGACTAGCCCAAGAGTTTCTATTTGCTTTTCCATTCAATTACCTTCAGAGAAGTACAGGGGTGAAGAATATGGAGTCCATGGCTTTTACATATATAAATAATGACTCACTGATATAATCTAGCCACTAAAAATGAAATAATGTGAGACCCTGACAGCAGAAATGACGGGGCTGCCCTAGAGCGGGGAAGGTGATTGGCCGTCAGTGCAGGGGCACGCCCCAAGCCCGAGAGGCAGCGTGACTCACCCACGTCGGCCAGAGTCCGGATGCAGCCCTCGATGTTGGCCTTCTGCGACGCGCTGATCCAGGTGCAGTTGTGTAAACGGAAGGAGGACTGGAGAAGCTGGATGAAGATGGGCTGGTGGGTCTGGGGGGGGGGGGTGTGATCAGCATGGGGTAAAGACTCTCATTAATGTAGTGTAGTAGGGTGCACCTACAGCTCCCAAACCACTGCAGACAGATTTAAATATATTTAGTCGATTTCAGGGAGGAAAATACAGTTTGGGGGTGTCATACTGTGGATCATAAAGTGTAATATGTGTAAAACAAGGCAATATATCAATTACACAGAGATTAAAGTCTGTCCTTGATTAATAAAGGTCTCTGGCATTCATTCCAGTAATATCTTCATGCCGCTGAGCTTTGAACTCAATTATGTTGTTGAATATTACATCTGAAAAAGCTGGGAGCAGTGAAAGAGACACAATGGCGATGAAACCACCGTCTGAAGTCGCTCTCTCGTTCCTACTGACACAATGAGGGACGCGCACCTGCAGGTTGGAGTTGTTGACGGAGAACTGGGAGCCGAAGAAGCCCTTGACGATGGCCATGACCATCTCCGTCACGTACCTCTCCAGGACGCTGTCCGTGTGCCTCCTGTCGGTGGTGCTGTTGCACACCTGAGGGTCAGACACACATCCGTGTCACCCGGCATATCCACAGTCTCTCCCTTCAGAGGGTACTAGGCACCCTCAACTAATCCTTCTGCATGAAATCCTCCCCAGTGTCATTACTGGCAAACGTACCCTGGCCATGTCAACAAGAATGTTCTCAAAGAGCATCCAGATGTGGTTGCTGGTGTAGATCTCCTTCATCTCCACCTCAGTGTCCACATAGCAGTGATTCAAGAAGTTCACATAGGCAGTTTTCACCTGAGGCCACGCAAACATTCCAGTTCAGTAATCTTCAGAGCAAACATTTCACATAAAAATGACTATTGAGGTATTTCCATGCACTTGACATATAACCATCATCATTTCAACCAGCGTGTCCTGCAATGGACTGGTATGACCATCCAGTATGGCCGTGAGAAAGGTTCCTGGTTCACCATGGCTAGACAAGCTGTGAGACAGACATACAGACAGATAGACAGACAGAGATCAAATAGATCAGATATATAAATCAGATAGATCATATAGACGGAGGGATGGAATGGATGGATGGACAGACAGACAGACAGAAAACACCTATTAAATACGGCCAAGGTAAACTGATGACAGCTGACGTCCCATCCAGAGCGTCCCCTGCCTTGCGCCCTGTGGTTCCCGGGATGGACTCCATGTCCAAGGTGACCCTCTACCGGATAAGCAGTCATGGAAGCCGGATGAACAGATGGACGGACAGCTCCGACCCCCATGGCCTTCCGCGCGGGGTCTCACCTCGGGGGTGCAGTCATCATGCGTGACCACTTTGACGATGTCGTCGAGGGGCAGCAGCGAGTTGCACTTGAGCTCGGTGTAGACGTTTTTGCCCTCGGTGCAGGCGGCCAGCAGCTCCACCAGCGTGTTGTGGTAGGCCAGCGCCCCGTTCTCATCCACGCGCTCGCGCTCCGAGCACATCATCTGCAGCAGCACAGGGAAGGAAGCCCTGTCGTTGTAGAAGACCAGCACGTCCTCGCCGCCGTTCACCAGCTGTGGAGAGAGCGGCACAACGGGCAGAGCTGAGGCACAAAAGCCTAAGGCAGATGTGTAGCTTGGCTGGGGCAGATAGCTAATTAGCCTAATTTCTGTAACACATACAAACTTCAGCTCAACAAACCTTTCAAATCGACAATGATTAAACAGTGTAGCAAAACTTCAATACAATGTTAAAACAATGAATATTTAGTCAACATTAGCCTGTGCTGGACAAGTCATGAGAATGGGTAGAACATTAATTAGTAGCTGTCTGGTACATTTTTTTAAATAAGGAGCATTAACTGTTAACCGGCACTGTTAACTAGTTTCCAGGAACAATCAAACATTTGTCCCGACTGTATTTATGGGACAGTAGCTGGAAACACTGGTAACACAAGGTAAGAACATGCAAAATATCATCCTCGCATTCTGAACGTCACGCCGACTCACCTCCGTCATGACCTTGTCCTGGCACTTCTTCACGTACTTGCCGTCAGCCTTGACGATGGTCTGCAGGAAGCGCAGGTACTGCACGCGGCGGCCGTGCGTCTCGATGCAGTGCACGAAGTGATGCACCACGCGGTCGCTGATCTCGCTGCACAGGTGGTAATTGTTCATGAAGATGTGCCTCATGGTCTCTGCCTCCAGGAGCTGGATCGCGGAGGGGGGGGGGGGTCAACACATATTCATTAGTGCTGACCTTAGCCGTGGGAGAATCTGGGTTTCTACCCCTACGGTGCCCAGAGAGGCACAGAAATCGCAGCCACTGTAAGTCTCTAAGCTTCTTCTCTCCCATCACTAAGTGACCTCATCCTGACCATGATAAGTCCTGTAGTCATCTCCTATTCCTTCTGTGTTCATTTATCAACACGTTTGGTGGTGGTTTTATTGTGGGGAATGCCCCGCCCTGCCCTCATCAGCAAAATCTATCACGGGTATGTACTGTATGTGTTGAAAGCCTAGGCAAAACTCCAGAATTGATTCTTAATCACAGTCCAGCCTAGGTTATCAATAATATATAATAATCAATATCAATAATTCATAGTAAAAATAAAACAATCCATTCAAATACTTCAAATGGAATTACTATGTGAGTCCGTCTTGCTTTGCTACAAAAAGATGAATCTACATAAGGGAATAAGGGTGAGCAGGTTCATTCCGCAAATCTGGCTCCCGGAAAGTGCCGGCAAAAGAGCTGCCAATCCAGAGGCCTGTTTTCCGGAGAGTCACTTGACGTCGAAGCACGGGGGTGAGACGGAAAAGCTTGGACCGGGGAGGGTGCTGCCCGCTCTCGATCCTGCAGATGGTGGCAGTGGGGGAGGGACACTCACCCCGGGGGTGAGGAAGAGGTTGAGATGCTTGTGCAACAGGGCCTGGTTCTGCGGGTTGCCACGGCAGAAGTTCTGCAGGAAGGCGTGCGCCAGGGTCATGATCTCGTTCATCTTCTCGTCGGTCTGCAGAGGCAGGCAGGTTGCCGTGGTGAGCACACATTCTCGCAGGTGACCTTCCCTACTGCAGCACTGTACTAAGCAAACCTATCAGACTCTTAAAGGTGCAGAACCTTTTTATCATCACATACAGAAATAACACGGTGTATGATTTATAGAATTATTTTAATGTCTTACTATTGCATTAAAGCGTTATTGATTTATATATTTTTCCTCCCATCTCAGTCACAGACGTCTTGTAAATATTTAGCAGTTTCTAAGTTGTGCTCGGCGTTCCGGCTGTGTCCCTTCCTACCAGGCTGGAGGAGTCGGTTCTGGACAGAGTGTGCCTAGAGCCCTGACAAAATGTGGTACAGACACAGATGGCATAGGGGCTGCGGATCGAAAGGCAAAGCTATGGCTACTGAGACGCGCGGATGCCCTCCGCCGAAGACTCGGGATCGGGCCGGCTCTGGGCACCTTCTCATAGGGTATCTGCAGCAGGTCCAGCACCACGGTGTGGGCGCCCATGTTCTTCAGCAGCCTCTGCTGCTGCACTGGGCTCTTCTTGCTGGGAGAGCACAGCTTGCTGAGGCAGAGCAGGATCTGCGGTCCCAGAAAAACAGGGGTAAGCCGTGGGAACGGGCTGCAGCTCTCTGCCGCGGGACGCCAGAACGGGTCGGATAACTGATAACGAACCTCTTGTTAGACTCTATAGAAAAGGAACTGGGTATTACATTATTCATTACAACCAGAAGTGAAAGTAAAACAGCCCTTATTATGTACAACTTATTAAACAGTGTTGTTTGCCTCATTGAACATGGACAAGGTAAATCTAATCCAATCCACTGGGAGCAAGGAGAATTTAATGGGACTTCTGAGATTGCTATCTTTGAGATATTATAGTAAGTGCTGCTCACTTCTTTGATTATAGTGTAGTTGTTAGCTCTGTTGCTGTCGATCTGAGGTTTCCCATCTTGCGCTGGACTCAAAATACCAACCTCCTGTAACTGACAAGACAATTCACAGATAGCTACCTTTATTCTTAATTATCGTTAATTAAAAGGTACTGTTGATTAAAGTTATTAATTTGAATATATCATGGGATGTATAAACTATCAACTGTCAATCTTTATCAGTTCTGAACAATTAAAGTATAAAATGTACACATGGGAACATAAAGAAATAGCAGTGACCCTTGGTGCACCTCTCATGTACAGACTGTAGGGGGCGCACCTCTAGCATCTGTTCCTTGCTCTGCTCCTCATTGCCGTAGCTCCCGCTCTTCTCCACCCAGAGCTCAGACTTCTCCACCGTCAGCCGCAGCTTATCCAGGCCCTCCTTGATCTGCTTGTAGTTCTCCACGTCCTGGCTGGACACTAACAGCTGGACCTGCGGTGACAGCGTGACACACGGATGACCATGCGGGAGGTCGCAAGTGCGCGGTGTGGTGATGCAGCGGTAGGACTGGCGGACGACACCATCAACTACACCTACTGAAAAGCTCAAGAAAAACGCACATAAGCTCTATAAATGTCTAACTAATGAACATCATTACAGAAGATTACCTTGAAGAAGACCATTAAGAATGTCATTAGCATAGAATTGTTGTTAGGAATGACTATATGAGAAAATCGTATTTGAATGAGTGAGTCACATCCCTCACCAGTACTGTAGTAATTTATGGTGCGTTTTGAAATGTAATGTACAGTCCTCAAGTCCGTTTCCACCCATTTTTCCATCGAAAATGCTTTCATTAGTGTTGCCAGGCATTGGGGGGGTGGGGGTTGTAAACATTGTGGATGCAATGAAAATCCGCAGCTTAGTTTAGCCAGACATCAGCAAGACCCACTGCGATGAGCTGACGGACGACGAGAACCTCTCAGGAACTCCTGAAGATGAGCAGCTCAAGCAGGATCTACAATTCATGCATCATATCATATAGTACGTCACAAATAAGACAAAACTACCAAGAACAAATGCTCAAAGTGCCTGGCCTTCAGAGTCTCCGCAAACCACAGTGATCCTACCTATGTACTCTACAGAGGTCAAGTGGGGTGAGAAGGGGTGGGGGGACTCCTATTAACTTCCTTTGCAAGACTTTAATAAAATCATCCCATTACGAGCTGTAGAAATAGCGCAAGGCAGCCACCGGCCTTTGAATCACCCTGGCTTCCAGCGAGCCGGTCCTCACACAATCACTGAGGCTAGCCCGGCCCTCTTCGGGGACAGCCACCACCTCGCCGGGAAAACAACGAGGTGTCACACTGATTTCTCGCTCTCACTTATTCGCCGCTATTTTCCGGGATAAATGGAGACTCGCTAAAACCACTTATTACAGCCAACATTCAAAGGGAAACAGAGTGACTTAATTTGAACATCATATTCCACTAGGTATCTGGCCATTAAAATCCCATTTAGTACACTAATGGAGAATGCCACCTCAGTCCGGGATTAAAATCCAAAGTACCAGCAACGTTCCCACTCGGTGAGGGAGGCACAAGCTACAGGCAACAGCTTTGATATTTGGAGGAGGGACAAGTCAATAATTAAAATTGAAAGGCATATTTATTGGGGGAGGGGTGAATGAATCCAAATGAAATATTGAGGAGAGGACTAGGGGTTGATGTTCAGTGGATGAATGGCGATTCTAAGCGATTTTACAACATTGTTTGCACACATTTAAACAGGTGAAGTCCTGTTGTTCCTTAATGTCAGAGGTGGAGATTTCAGGTCCAGAGAGTACAAATCCAGACCAAGATTTTGCTTCAACCAACCAGTTGATTGTGACTCTTTATACTCAACTGATTGGTTGAAACAAAATCTTGGTCTGGATTTGTACTCTATGGACCTGAAATCTCCATCAATTCTCCAAAGAATTGCAGGATGACTGACGTGTCTAAACGGCCCTTAGTGTGTGGTTGAACATGTGACCTGTGACAGAGCGACATCCCTTCCGGGATGTTCCGGGAAGATATTCTGCAATGTGAACATAATGGATCAGTAGATGATCACAGAAATTATTGACAAGTCATTGCACGCAGCTCAAAGGCTAAGCCTTCGTTAGACAGCAGTTAAAATGCACCAATCCCCATTTGATCCCAATACCCAGGGCCAGTCCTGGCTTGCGCACCTGTTTGAAAGCCTGCAGGACCTCAGCTCTCTGGCTGAAGTGCTTGAAGAGCAGCTGAAGGGCACCAGACACCAGCGGGGCGTAGTCCTGCATGATGAGGTGGATGAGGACCCTCAGGAAGGTCCGGCCACCCTCATCGTCCAACTCCACAGCACTCTTCTCCTCGCTGGGGGCCCAAAAATCAGGAGCCCAGGGGAACACAAGTTAGCCCAACACTCCTTTGAGCAGATGCATCCAAGTGCAGCCACACACGTTGCTACAACAACAGTTTACTGAAGCCAACGTTAAGACAAATAAGCAAAATTCGACTAGCATTTTACAGAGATCTTCAGCCGCAATTTTGGTTCCACGTTCGTGCATCATGATTCCTGCTGGCTACATAACAGTCACACTCAAGTCTGCATGTCTACACCTCTGTCCCAATCTGTTACCATTCTGTGCCAGTAAGACACAAAAAAATAATTTCTCAATACAGTTTTTATGTTTTTTCTTCCTATGCAGAGCTCCAATACCTGTATAATTCCACAGGTCTTTTCAATGGCGGATATTACAGGGGACGTCCCTAATCAAGTACAGTAGATCCCAAAAACGTGATCACAAATTCTGCATCTCATGTTGCTTCTACCACAAAAAGTACCCCTTGGATTACCCACCTTCCAGCAAACATGGTCTCCGCCTGGGCTGCAATACCATCGAAGTCGGGGTCGGACACTATGGGAGAGCAGATCAAGGCAGGTCACACTGAGCTGGGCGCTCGGATTCTCGGGGAAACCGGTGCCTCTCAGAGGTAATTAAGTCAGAAAGGCTGCTGTGGGCTGCTGGCTCCGAGGCCTCTTCGGAGGGGCTCGCCAACCACATTCAATATTTGTCAAATTAATGCGATCGACAAGGAAGGCAAATTGGAGCGATTCACGGTGCATAAAGTGTGCCTCACCAGGCATGGGGGTGGCGTCCGTCATGGACATGGACGGGTCAGCCAATGAGGTCTCTCCAAACTCCTTCTTGTAGATTGACAGCAGGAAGGTGATCCTATAGTCCAGGCGAACGCTGAGAATAAACTTTAGAGCGAGTTTTTTGTTAGACAGAGCTCAAACCCAACCTGACAGTGGTATTAAACAGATTTGCTTCTCTACTGATTTGTAACTACATTAAGAGTCTTTTCAAAGAACATCTGAATGCACGGTACAGTTAGTTCTTTCTTTGAAATCTACAAATGGTCACAAAGACCCAGTTCAGGATTCTTACACTTTATTAGGAAGGTTGGTTTGTAATTAGTGTTTATTGATGCAAATAAATTAACCACCCGGTGGGAATGTACTGCTAAATTCAACCATGAGGTTAAACAGCAACAATACTGAAAACAAATGAACCCTTTTTGTGTTTATAAACAGCGATGATGGTTGTTGTGGGCGGAGCCTAACCGGTGGCAGAAAGAGAGTTCTGCAGTAGTGGCGTTAGGTGTGATCACCAAAATCAAATTCACATATCAGGGACATGGATGATCCGGACACCTTCTCCAAGCACAGGACAGGTTGTCTTACATTAATAAGCTAATACTTAGCGATGGGGTGAGGTTTCCTGACTCGAGTCAGTGGGTCAAGGATCCAACAAAATGGCCAAGGTTACAGCGAACAGACATCTTCCTGTACCTTATGAAAAAGCCCAGTGTCTATTCAAAAGAAAGACTCAAGCATACAAATCTCTAGACGCATCTGGTCGTGTCCAGGACATCCAATACAGAGATTTGTCGAATGATTTTTGTGTATTAGAGACCACGGTACTGCCAAGTCAGTGGCAAGGACATAAACTACACGTCAAACAATTGTAGACTGATGGCAAACTGCACTTGCATGGCTGAGTAAGTATTAACTCTTTTTCACTGTAAATCACTAGAACTCCTGCAGCTATTACTACCTAGGTGTTATGAAAAAATGTTATTTCATGCTGCAGCTGTAGGGCTAATACAGTATGCCTTATATGAATTACATATGTAATTATTATGTGTGTTTATTACTTGCATAAACAATTGTTTATTTTTTATTTTTATATGGAAAAAGGTTATTTACATGATATAAATGAAGACCATCTTTTTTTGCATTCCTATTCTGACATCCAATGGCACAAGACATTTTTTTTTTTCCTTATTCTGCATTTTCCTCCACTTCCTCCAATGTTTTTCTGCCGCCACAATGTGCGCGCAACTGCAGTGACGTAACAGTGACGTCCACTCCAAACTGATCTATAACTAAGGCGTGGATGTACTGACTCCTGTCCACCTATAGGGGGCGCTCACCTGGAGGATCTCAATAATCTTGAGCTTGGTGTCCATGACCGTGACATTTTCACTGTCGGCCAAGCAAGAAGGCACATTGTGCAGCAGGCCGTTCTGGGCGTCGGGGAGGTTCTGGGAAAGGATCGGCCCCCGGCTCAGCACCATCTGGGTCATCATCTCGCCGACGTCGTGGATGGTGCGGATCACATTGTTACCTGGCGGAGAATCGAGGGAGGCGGGAGGAAAGAAAAAAAATAAAGACATGGCAACTGCCGCTCTACTGCTCACAGAAAATGTTGTGATGTGACATGATTCTGTGATGAGATGGTTCAGAAGGGGGGGGGGTTGCACCCTGAAGGAAACCACGAGCAGCAACATAATGACTGCTACAGTAGTAACGTGACATACAGGTTACTGCTGTTGCTAAGATGGGGGTTTTATTTTAAACGTTTATAAACATAGCATCTAATAAAGCTCTTTGTAGATCCATTCTGATTCACAAATAAACGATCCGCTCCTGACGAACACCTACCAGAATTTAATTTACATATATTAAGATTTATATTTATTTAAGAGACACTTTAATCCCAAGCAACATACAAGTGATGATCAGAGAACAGGGTCAGTGAGCCAGGCTTAAGGACCTTGCTCAAGGGCTCAGCGGTAGTATGATTACATAACCGGCCGTGGGATTCGAACCCACAAACCTCGAGACATGGGCGCAGATCCCTAAGCCGCTGAGCCACACCCTGCCCCACACACCAATATGATGAGTAAAGACCCTTATCCAAAGTGAGTGACAGCTCAGTCCTGCATCTTTGCACATCAATACAGACGCTTGTTCTGCTTTTTCTGTTTATAGTCTGTATATTTTATATTGTTTTATCTTATTTTTTTCTGTATTTGTATCCTTCCTAACTTTTTCCTTTCTTACACCGGCAAGGATAGTCTGCCGATATTGTTGTACCTTGTGCAATAACAAAGGCATTCATTCCTCCATTCATTCATTCATTCATTCGTCTTTCCAGAAGCGTCTCTCTGAAGTAGAGCGATCAGGGCAGACTTGATGACGGTTCCAGCCTTGGTCCCCTAACCTACCTCCCTCTAGGCCCTTGCTCAGTTTGCCCATGTAGGTGAGCGGTTGCTGCACAATGTCCAGAATGGCCAGCAGCGTCCGGGTCAGCCTCAGCAGCTCGCTGAAGCTGTAGAAGCCGAAGTAGACGAGGTTGCGCGCCAGGTGCACCACCTGCAGGCGAGGAGTCGATCAGAGGTCAGCGCAGTCCGCTCTGGCGGCCCGTGCCAGCAGGGAAGTTTACACCTGCCATCGCATACTGGACGCAACCAGGAGACACGCGCATGGCGAAGAGTTTCATCTGCACGGCAAGCCGAACATATTAAATGCAATGTTGCAATGAAATTCAGTCGGCGTTTCTAAACGTTTGAAAATACATTCACCAAGTGGTCTGTCTGAGGGGAAAAAACGATCTATTGCGAGATTCTGAGAGCCAGACAGCTCCGCCCCCCTCACAAGGTGTTTATTTTCATTCCTTTTACGTTAATAAAGCAGAAGTCTCCCCAGAAACACCACCTGTACCATGAATCATGCCCGCTTTCTCGTCTCTTTATCTTTCCTTTCTTTTAAACTTTACCTCCAACGTTAACTCATTCTTCTCCTCATTTGCGAACGGATAGTGCGAGTTGACGACTTCTTTAAGGTACTCCTCCACGAACTCCATGGTTGGGGTGAATGTCCTCTTCATATCCTCCCGTGTGGCATTGGAGAACTCGTATTCGTACCTTAAGGGCACAGGGACAAAGGCTTTGGTACGTGCACGTTTCTCAGGTAGGGATGCAGGCATTTACAGAGACAGGCACTGCGCTCCGAACACCAGCATCAAGGAGACAGCAGGATTAGCGACAAAGAGGAAACTGGTTCGTACAAACCGTGGTAACTAACTAATGTGGAAAGCTAAAGCGCAGTAAAATGCAGATGCTTCATAGATTTCTATGCCATTCTGGGACAAAACACCAATCTAGGCTCACCAGTCTCCACACAGGCAGAAATACTGGTAAGCTTCACATGGACAAAAACAGCAGGTATGACTCTGGGTTAAGCACTGGGATATGGTCTGCTGGTTCAAAACCCAAGAAGAAGCCTGCTGTTGGACTCTCTGGTGTGTCAACTCAACCAGGATTAACTGGGCTGAGAGCTATGCCAGCCGATGCAGATTAACATGCTGGCAGAGAGACTGAGATGCTAATTATGCGATGAATGTTTTCAGCGGCGACCCGAGGGTCGGTCAGTGTAAAACAGAGACACAGAGCACGGCTGGCAGAGGGGCCCCCGGTGCCGCGAGAGTTAACGGGCGCGCGGCTTATCGGAGAACGCTGGCGGTGCGATGAGTCACCGGCACGGCGTGCGGCGGGAGTCGCTCGGGCTCATGGCTCACGCGGCACAGCCGTCACACTCCGGCTGGCCTCATGCTGAGCCCACAGAAAGCTCGCAGCGTGAGCCGCTGAATGGATGGGGGGGGGGGGGGGGGAGTGCATTCAGGACAACAGCACTCGGCGGTCAAACCCGCTCGATTCCAAACCCCCCCCCCAAGATATCCACTGCGGATTCTCAGATGTATGCTGCACACGTATCGCCAATTAAGGACCCGCTCGTACACAGTCACCCGAGACAGGCATCGAGTGGCATCTGAACTCCATCCCCGGGCTAAATCAGTCCTGAGCTTTGCCCCACAGGCCGCACGGCACTCCAGGTAAGAACTCCAAGGCCGAAGAGCCGAACCAGGCCACAGGAATCACGGCAAACAGACCCCCTGGCCAAAAGTGTGTGGCCCTCAGGATAAAGGAAGGCCGCCGCAGACAATCCCAAGTGGCAGCTTGCTGCCATGGAAATGAGATGAAATATTCATATTGTTAAGAAAACAGATGTGTATCGGCAGCACCCTGCCCAAGGGGGTCTTGCTGACCCCAACATCAAGCACCACTTCCTGGCTAAGGGCCAAAGCCACCGTAGAATTACAAGTACAAGGCAGAGTCCTTCACCACATAAGGTAAAATAAGCATTATTATGACCCATGACTGAAATCTGATTTGGATGCATTGGGCAACAAGATAAACACACTATGTGAAATAAAAACACAACCTTCAACATTAACACTTCCCACACCACCATCATCACCCACACCTACATCACCCAGACCGTCATCATCATCACCCACACCTACATCACCCAGACCGTCATCATCATCACCCACACCTACATCACCCAGACCGTCATCATCATCACCCACACCTACATCACCCAGACCGTCAGCATCATCACCCA